TACGGAGGGCGTGCGTGGCCAGCCAGCACCTCAAGGCAAACGTGGCCGCATATAAAAACGTGAAATATCACGGGTGTTTCCTTATCGCCTGCTTGGTCATATGTAAAAACGAATAAAATCTCGGTAAGTTGCGCCAGGGGATCGTGCGGTAGTCGCTCCGGGCCAGTCGGTCAAATCTGATTTCGTACGTTTTTAGCATACAAGTCGGTGAACGCGGGAGTAAATCGTTGCGTGCACGAGTTCGTATTTAGTATTTCTTTCCTCGCATCCGCAAACATTCACAAGTGTAAGTGAAACGTATCAAATGTTGTATCGTTATTGCTCTTCTCCGTTTTTATACTAAACGCGGCATTAAATATAGTAATAGCGTATTAATTTAGCTAGATTTTTTTAGATTAAAATAAGAAGCATTAATGTTACAATATAAAGTTATATATAAAGCACTAATATTATAATATTTGCGACATTATGTAGAAAAAGCTACGAAAGCAGAAAAAGCAAAGGTAAGTAGCTAGATAGAAAGGAATATCAGCGATGGACCAAAGAAGGAAAATCCGCGCACGCAGGAGAGGAGAATCACGTAGCGTACGAAACGGGCGCCGAACAATAAGCAATAATAGGTAATGCAATTCAAACGTGGAGGCTGGCAATACTCCGAAGCCGACGGGGTGGTTACAATGCCGGGAAATGCAAGACAGGCATTTCCTGCGAAACGCGACGGCGGCGGTGGCGGCGGTGGCAACGGCGAGAGACGGATGGGGTTGGAGAAGGGGGCGGAGAACGGAGACAATCATACAATACGGGACGTTCCGGTAGTCTATCGCATATTTGCCTTTACGCAATTCTCTACTCGCGCAAACGCTTCGCTCGCGATATTACGCAATCGCGATTTATCCAGCGCGACGCGACGCGACGCGACGCGACGCGACGCGATGCGGCGCAATCCAGTCATCGTCCGGAAGCGTGGCTGTATTTAATCCGGGGATGCTCTCGGCATGTCTGCATACGGTGATGAAAACGCTGCGAATAACTGCGAATATCCGTATATCTTACGTTTCCACAATATTGGCAAAATAACCGTCAACCGAATCTCATCCGCGATATACTTTTTCAAAACGAAAAGAAAATTATCAGTTGAAAATGTAAGATTAAATGAATTATGCTTGCAAACAGAAATGATTAATATTTATATTAGTCGTAATTTTGATAATAATATATGATATGTGTTGATATGTGTTGATTATGGGAAATTTTGTTATTCCATCCTTGTAATTGTTTTAAATCATTTTCGAGATGATTGCATTTTATCTTTGTATCATAAAATATTAATTTAATTGTGTTGGGATTTTACCTGGATATTTATGTCTGTAGATTACACGATATTTGTCTTATATAAAATCGTCTTTATATTTCTAGGCTCGCACGTAGATCTCGTCGACAGGATGCGGTGGAATGATCTCGGGGAGGGGCACGAAGCCATAGTAGATGAAATCGTTTGTTCTAATATCGCGGGTCCGACCCCCGCTCGAAGATGGAAGTTTGTCCGTTGGAAATTGTCCGGGTGACATTGCAAATGGGTCCAGACGATTCTGCACAGCTCTTCTTGTATCTTTGCCGTAATACGCACACATGTGTTTTCAACGTCGTGCTGGCAACCAGCAGTAGCTTCTCGCCTCGAAATCCCGTGAGGCTAATTCTTAAGATACCGTTCGACGTTGATAAAAGTGGCCATATCGGAGTCAAAGTTTTCGCAAGAGTGCCATATTTGTTCGCGCAATGGCTATTCTTTCTCACCACATCTTGTCGTGAATGTATACCTTGCAAATGTTTGACTTAAGCAACGTATATATACTTTATGATTTTTATAGAATTATACATCTCCGAAATTATTTTAATTATTATTAATAACAGTGATATATTCAATATAATATTTACATATTATAACAGAATAACACTTCTATCTATCTGCTAATGGTTAACAGAATATTAATTATTTAATCATTTACCATTTTAACATAAGGTATTTAATTTTCAACAATAGTTATATATATTTTATTTGCTATTGTAAGTGTAAATTTTTCAATTTTTGTATCGAAACCCTTTCTATCATATCTCATTCTCGACGAGTCTGTTCTCGCTTCGCAAGATTTCCACGGAGAAACTCGAGGCGAAACGTCATCGGTCTAACTCAGAAGGCAAATGACACGAGAAATATAATCCATGCCACCCCGGGCTTTGAACCCAGAGAACTTCTTACCCTTCCCACTCGACATCGTTATAACTCCTTACAGGCTTGGCCTCTCCTTCCCTCGACCGCTTTCCCCCTTCGTCTACGTCAATCCCAGAGAAAGCTGGGCATTGTCGTGCCGAAATTGTGCGTAACTACGACAATAGTTCGGCAGGATTGGACGAAATTAATGAAAACTCGCGCGAGACTCACGAAGAAGGGGTGAAGAAAGGGATGAGACCTCCCCAGAAATAGATATTCTAACAGTAGGAGAAGGGAGAGAATTCGGCTAATCGTGACAAATACTGATCCGGGATTGCCGAATTATAAACTAATGTCTCGAGGAAACTTCGCTCGAATAACTTTCTCCTCCTCTACTTGATTACGATCCCTCCAAGTGTTCTCTCAATCTTCAAACAGCATATGTATCTTAAATCAGCTATTCCAAATTTTATTCAAATTTTCATATTACTCTTATAATATGGAATATATATTTTTTTGTCTAATTTAATTGTTCGATATTGAATATAATGTTGAATTGTTTGATTAAAAATATTTTTAATTCTCTTCACATATTCCTATTTTTATTAAATAAGATTAGAAAGAAAGTAAACAGAACAGAAAGATTAAAACAGAAAGATTCTTTCTATTAATAAAAGAATCGATAAGTTATAATAATACATTAAGACTCCTGCTGATTCATTTCAGTCGTATTGAATTATAACGTCAGAAGCGAGAAATTACATGATGAAAATTTTTGCAAAATACATTAAAATAAAAATTTTTTTCAATAGGATAATATTTGTATTTGATAAAACTGATTTGTAAAATATATCAAAAATTCTCCTCTTGCTCCAATAATAAGTAAACAATCACATATCTAGAAATGAATTGTACCTAATTAAGAACAGAACCATAATTCAATTCATAATTTAACGTCATAATTCATGATGGCTGCAGTGAACCAGCAGGAGTCTTAAGCGTTAAGCATATCGCAAACAAGCATCGGTGCGGATATTGCACCGGTGCAATTTCAACCGGCGAACCAAAGGGGATGATTTCACCATCTTTATATCTTGCGACCGGGCGTGTAAAGGATAACGGAAAGAGAGTGGTTGATGGTGAAGTTAGAGGGCGAACGTGAGTAGGCGGACGGGCGGCAATGTTCCAGCTCGGCCAAGAGAGAAAGGAAATTGGATGATATTTCCCGCAACGATCAAATCTTATTGCCAATTGAAAGAGGAAAGTTCGCGGTACATTTACCCCGAGAAATCACCGGCGACGAAGAGGTGAGCTAGCGAAAATGGCTGCTGCGATTTGCGATTCTACGAACCACTCGTGGCTATTTCCATCGTGATAACAAGCTCATCTACGAGAAAATAATATGAGAATAATTACATTCAAATTGATAATTCAACAGACAATTAATGGAACAAATTCATTTTCATGCAATGCAATTGTCGTATTTACACACGTAGTACTTTAACATAAAAATTATTCCAAAATTTCGCATTATTAAAAAAAATCAGCTTCTTATGTCTTTTAAAAATAAATGTTTTTACGATTAGAAATAGGTTGAAATGGTTATTGAAAGTAATTTTAGCACCATTTTCACATTCATAAATTCATCAGTAGATTACAATCTTGTATTGGACGATTTCCTTTCATTTATTTGTATCCCCTTATCACATCGCACATATTAGTAATATCATCAGAAGCCAAAAGATGACGGGATGGAGGTCGCGGTCCAACTTCGATATCCCTCCTCATAATTTCATCTATCAGTATTCGCGAAAGAGCAAGAGAGGGAGAAAGGAAACGGGCAATTGAGCGAGCGAGAAAAAGAGAGAGAGAAAGAGAGATCAGAATAACCGCTTTCGTGGAAAGATTACGTTTGGGGTTCGGCGAGTTGTAATGAGCGGACGAAAGCGTCAGCGGCATCTAATGTCAGAAATTATAGCATATTGGCAATAAAATCTGGAGCAGGATCTGCCCTTGTACGAGCGAGCTCAACGCAGTTGCCATGTCTATTTGTGGCTAGCTCGTTTATTGTAACGAATGTTGGAACCATGTTTTGCTATTACGTACGATCTTCTCTCAAGGGAAGGCCTGATAACACTGATAATATTTCCAATAGCTAATCTGTTGCCTCTGATATCGACAGCGCTGTAATAATAAGATATTGATACAATGTCTCGTATAATATTTGTAGCCTTGCAGTCTCATATAATAAATTTATATAGTTAAACTAATGACAATATTAATCAGATTTCAAAATATTATTTTAATCTTTAAGATATACGCTACACGATTCCGCCCATATATTTTTTTATAACTATTATTAGAAAAATATTGTAAAGCTTGCATAAAAATTTATTAAGTTTATTAAGTTTATAAAATTTACTTAATAAACTAAATTTATTAAGTTTATTAAATTTATAAATTAAATGTGTATACAACGAAAAAATAATATAGAGACAACAATATAAACCAAATGTGTGACAATTGGATTAAAACGTATAACATTTGAGACATGTATGATTTTTTCTCCGTTAAATTTAACAAAGTATGACATATGTTTAAAATTGTATAAACGAAACATTCAACGGAACAAAATACATAAAATACGAAACGTGAATAAATGCCAAATTACTTAAAAAAATACACAAACACATATATAGTAATATTCTTAACACTCTGTTATATATAATTATATACAAAAATTATATATAATTAAACAAATGTTAATTGACTCATGTTTAGCTGTCAATTGTCATTCAATTTCTGAATTACTATTAATATCTATGTATTTATCGGAAAGTCGCGAGAGAAAAGTTTTACCAGAAATTCTTCTAATTTTCGTCCAATCTAATATTTTCGTCTTATCTTTAGTATTTGGTAATTTTATATTGAAATTATTTTCCATTTCTAAACTATCAGTTTCATTTACATGTAAACATGCATATGACTTTATACTGCCATCTGTCTGAAAATTTCAAAAATATATATTTTATGTAGAGTTTGTTGCTGTATGTAAATAAATTTTAATAAGATTTAACTTTTACATATGTATATGTTAACAAGTAACTACTTTTTTAAATTTAAAAATTGTAAAATTTCAAAGTATTAATATAACATTTTGACATTACTATGCGCAAACTATTTATTTTCTCTATGATTAAATATTATTTTATACAATATGTGAACCGACCTGATAAGATTCGTTATCATCGAATTTAATGCCATCTTTTTCTTCGGATAAAATCATAGAATCATCACTTGAAACTGAAATATTTAATATTTCTGGATTAACATGTTTAGGAACGTAACAAGAATTTATGAAACAACTTTCAACTTCATTGTCTTTAAAGGATTCTTTCGGTTGGCTTTGATTGTCAGGAGATCTTCCTGAATTATTTGCATTATAAGCAGTTTTAAAGTGTTTATTCTTCTCTTCAATTTTATTTTCAAAATGTCTCATTAGACTCTCATATTTTTTTATTGTGGTATCTTTATTTATCTTAAATAGAATTGCTTCTAGTTCTTTATGTTCTAGATGCATTTTTAAACGAGTTATTTCATTTTGACTATCACTATAAGTCTTACAAATTTCGCTCAGCAGTATCGTGTTATTTTTCTGATCTGAGAACTGAGGTGTGAAATCATGAATTTCTGCTTTTATCGTATTTTCTACATTTTTACATAAATCTTCACAACAATGCAAGTTTTCTTTAGCCAAACTAATATTTTCACTAGCTTCGGTAATTTGTTCGTTTAGATTTCTGGCTTTTTCCTTGTTCGCGATATTTAGATCTATTATATTGCGTACTTCACTTTTCAACGAAATAATTTCAGTCTCTCTTTCTGTTATCTTCGTTGTTAATTCCTTCAGTTTATCCTCGAAAGTCAATTGGGTCTCGGAATATTCACACAATTGTCTGCAAAGCTTATTTTTATCTTTCTGACATTTGTTCAGAATAATCTCAAAATCGTGTACCTTTTGAAACAATCCGTGAACTTTCGCTAACTCATGTTGCATTTTAGCAATCTTTCCATCGAGTCTGTTTATCTGTAAAGTTTTCTGTAATACTTCTTCTTCCAGGCTTTCGAGCTTTGGTAAATGTTTATTTACACATTTATTAGATATTTTACTTAGTTGATCACGCATCAAAAATAATTTATTTTCAAAATCTCTAAATCTCTCTATATATCTTTTTAAGCATTTGGAAATTCGACTTTCATTTTCTTCCTTAACTGCTAATTTGTGAATCAATTCACGAATCTCATGTTTATATTCTTCTATTTTATTTTCTATTATCTTAAATAAATCATCACGTTTGATCGCAATTTCACTCTTCTTCTCGATCAATTCTTCCAAAGCTTCCTTTTCATACAATAACTGACATTCATTCACACAAGCCGTTTCATCTAATGCATAAATTGCATCTCTGGTTTCTAGATCCCGAGATAATTTGGCAATATATAACATTTCTTGATAATTCCATCTATTCGAAAAGGTGCAATCTATTTTGAACTGTTCAACGCTATCTTTTGCAGCAATATGACTATCTTCATCGACGATGCAAGTTTGTGTACACTTGTCTTCGTGCGTACTCATATTGTCACTTACGCTGATAGATCTTCGACTTTCGTTTTGTAATTCACTACTTATACCCGAATCATCTTTGCTGCTTCTATCGCTCGATCTAGAAACGCTACAATCCATACTACCATTATTTTCGAAGAAACTTTTACGATCGTCAAACATGTTAGAATCATTCTTTCTTATTGATTCTACACAATTTTGTGTAGCAAACAACTTTGGAATAATAATCCAATCATTCAATTCTTGTTGCTCAACTGCAGATGAACTGATGCACGGCATCTGTGAAGAACTTTTCTCAGTAAACGCGTTATCCTGGAAAAAATTATTTATCGTATCATCAAATGAAATATTTGTCGATCGATCACATTTGCATTTTTGATTTTTTATATCCTTATTTTTTGTATCATTCAAGCATTGAATTTCAGCAAACTGTCTTCCTTGCATCTGATGCTGCAACTGGATGATGTAAGCTTCTTTGCGTAAAAGTTCTTTCTCCATTTCTTTCATTTTGATCAATATATCATTCAGAAGATCCTCAGATTTTAATGATCTTTGTTTTTCTCTTGAAGCAATTTCAACATTTTTGTTCTCCATTGCGCTGATCTCTTCAAGTTTCTTCTCGGTCCCTTTTACTTTTTCGTCTATTAACTGTTCCAGATTGTTCATGAGACAATCGGCATTGTCCTCGATGTTTTCACTGTTGCCACCCCACTTTCGAATTCCGGCTCGCATGAGCTGTCGAAACTTTTTCAATTCTTCCATTACCAAAGCCAATTCGAAGCTACATTTGTTCTTTTCGCACAGGATAGCCTTGTTCTCTTTCCTCAATTTCTTCACCGCTTCTTTCAGAACCATTACTTTGGAAGTAACCTGCGTATTCTCAGCTTTGAGCTCTTCGTAAAGCGCGTGATTGTCCTCGGTGTAATCACCATTATCTCCTCGCTTTCTTTTCTTATGCCGCATCAGATTATCAATGCGCTCCTTGTAAAAGCTTTCGACCCGTTTGACAGACCATTTCAATAGATCGTGTTCCTCAATCTCGATCTCCTTGGCACGTTCTTTGTAAGTCGCTTCCAGCTTTTTAATCACGCATGAATAATGATCGGCTAGTTGTTGTCGAATTACATATTCGTTATTTAGCATTTCACTTCTCGCAATTTCCAATTCTCGTTTCAGCCTTCTGTTCTCTTCTCGTATATTTTTACATGCCGAATCGTCACAGTTAATTATCTCTAGGATCTCAGAGCTTCGATGATTACACGATGATGTAATATTAACGGCATACGTTTCTAAATCTCCGATAGTTTCTTCAAATTCGCTTACTGCTTTGCATTCCTTATAATGATCAGTTAAAAACTTTCTAACAATATCACAGAAATTAAAAATGTTCTGCGTTTCATCAATATTATTTGATGTAAAAGCGATATTCACTATAATACTCAAATTTTCTTGACCCGAGAGAGCAGGTTGACATATTCTCGTTAACTTCGACTCGCGAAATGGTGCTACTTGATTGTGACCTACAGCTTTGAGACATCTACCAAGTACCAACAGACTATTGTTAATGTGGCTCGCTTTGCGCATGTCTGATTTTTCAAATTGTACAGAACCAGCCAGATCGCAGAAGGTCAATGTACTAAGTACCACTTCGTCCGTTGCATGATCTTTCTGATATTTTAGTAGTTCCATTGTAAAAATGGTGTGCGATCGGGAGATCATTTTCGATTGGCCCGCTATAAGAATCTGACAGGCTTCCAACGCAGTTATGACGTGCACCTTCTGCAAACCGCAAATGTAAGTTCGCCCTTCGGTGCTCACGGCTAGTCTCAACGGGGAGTGAGTTTCCGCATCATCCAACAGATCGTAAACGTTACCGTTGTAAATCTCCACGAAAGACAGCCACAGAGCATACATCGATTCGCTGTTGTAGCACTCCTCGTATTCGTCAGAATTCGCGTTCTCTGGCCACAAATTTTTTAGATATTGTTTAGCCTCCGTAAATATCTGCTTTGTATCCAACGATCGTCCGTTTAATACTCGCGTTTTTTGTTGCATCTCAAAAGCTCGTGCGGTCTCGCTCAGACAAAGCATGGTATCCCTAAACGGCTTGTACCACGGCGCTATGGTGCAGTTTATCGCCGAAAACACAAGCTCGATACTGCGCGTTATTATACCGGGTGATGCAGGCGTGCCGAACAGCGTATAAGTCTTCCCGGAATCCCTCATGCCGTAAGTCATAATGGTCGAACTTTTACCGCCGAGGAACTCCACGACTCGATGTTTTATGGATCCCTCGAACATCTCCTCCTGCGAAGTTTTTGATCTAAAGATCTTTGTAAAAGCGTGCCGTCTACCTTCGGCCTCACTTGATTTCGTACACTTCGAATTCCGAATGAATTTATTCTCGAACGTCAAAAGAGTTCTCGGATTGAGTATGAAATAATTTTGTTGAAGCACCGATGGTGTTGGTTTTATTCTCAGATACATTTCGACTGTCGTAGCAAATATTTTAGAAGTTCGTGTTGATTTTGAATCAATGGTCTTCTTATCGCATTGCGATAAAAGGAAGTGATTCGTCTCGACTTCCTGATTGCATTTATCCGCGAACATGCTAAGACTTTTTGAAAAACTTTTATCGCTTGACGTCATATTGAGTTTCAATACGAATTAAAACGCGTGATAAAATGATATCCCAAAAATTACAATTTGTTTATGGTTATCAAGAAGGTTATTTTACATCCATGCTTTGTAATATTTCTGAAAAATTAAATATTGTTTTAGGTATATGACAATATAAATTAATTTTTATATAACTTACTTATTTCGTAGTTTTCTGTATATTTTAATTTTCATAGAACACCTTCAATTTTATTAGATAACTTCTATAAATATTGATAGCCTTAATATTGTATATTTTCATTTTTGAACTATGTTCAAGTTCAGTAGTGTCAGTTATATTCACGTGTAAGAACACAGAAATTAACTTATAAAAGCTTATATATAAATACAGAATTACATTTGTTATACTTAAAATAGATATGTTTGAAGTTTGGTGAAAGATAATTTTAATATGGTCCAATGTAGCTATAAGAAACACAGTGTTAAATTACAAGTGCATGGTGATTGAAATAACAAAAAGAAAGAGTATAATAATAAATATCACGCGAGTAAAATAAAATCCCATCCTGTAATTTGCCAGCTGCACCATTTGAAGGAGTATCTAACTTTGTCGCTAATATGCATGTCGTAGTTTATTCGAAGAGACACATTTCCTTTTTCGAAGCCATACATCTGTCGCCAAGGCACGCCAACGCGCGTTCTGACCGCGAGACGGGCACGGAGACGTACTCGCAGAAATTCGGCGATGACATCCACGATACATACGGCAAAACGCGCCGGGTGGAAGAGGCACGTCGGGATGTCAAGGAAGAGGAGGAAGAGGAATCCTCCCGCGACCGCCTCGAAATATCTTCAAAGACGACCAAGCGGCAATTTATATACGCATGTCGCCCGGCTCATTAAACGCAGCCAATCAAAGCCGAAGCTAATAACGGCCGCGGCCGCGGCGCGCGCGGCGCGTTCCAGGATGGGACGCGCGATGCGCGAAATCCGCCGTAATCTCGGCATCGGAATCGGTATCGCGGGCACAAGTCGGCCACTGTGCCGTCGTGCACCGGCCTGACCGCCGAATGCGGTCCGAACGTCGTCGGATCGGCGGTGCCTTTCAAGCCACAATCGACCCCTTGTATCGACAGTGCGGCGGCCGTCGCCGCGTCCGCCTCCCGGCAGCCCTTCCGCCGCTGGAGCGGTCCTTCTGCTGGGATTTCGCTTTTCGTCTCAGCCGCTCCCTCGAGTGTATATCGCTTCATCGCACGCGCGCGCGTCTTCAACCGTATCTCTCTTGCCGAGTTAAAGCTTGCCGCTGCGCCATCCGCATCTTCGGTGGTCCTTCGTTTCCTCGTCAATATCCACATATCGATATGTTCTATAATAATTAAACACGATGATACGAACGTATGAAACTGACATTTCTATGAAAAATGTGATAGTCGTATTTTAATTAGCTATGTCCGACGTTGTTTTTAATTAACTTAATCCAAAACTTAAGAAATATGGTATATAAATTTCTGTATAAAAATTTTACGTTCGAATTCTTTGCTTCCTCTCATTATTCTTATTCTTCTGTATTTTCCTGACGATACTTGAAATACAGAAATAAATAACTCTTTCGGCAAACTTATAGAAAGCTCGAGTCCCCATCGCGTGTCGAATCGAGATGAAACTTTGTTCAGGTCGAAGACTATAACGGAGACTCGAGGGATCTTAAGTATTTACGTCATAATAGACACATCACTTTTGATCTACGGCGTAACTCGCGATACGGTCCAACGTGCCGGTCGTAAAAACCTCGAAGAAGAAGAAAGAGAAGGTCGAGAAAGCGGGAAGAAACAAGAAGGAAGGTCCTCTTCTTTACGGCGAGAAGAAGAACGCGTAAGCGTCGATATATACGCGCGCTCGTATATAAGATGTTGCTGGTGTATGAAAAATAACAGCCGTTGTGCTCGCCCCTCCCCCCCCCTATATCGGGCGTTAATGCCTCCACGGTGGATTGATGTTCCGCCTTTATGGGTTATTTATTTAATACTGACAAATTTCACCCGATACCCCCCTGCCACCGGTGGCCTCGCCGACCATCGCCGGCCGCGTCTTTTATGGCGCTTTTGATGGCGCTGGAGAACGAAAACGGTACTCGGTACCAATGATTCGAACAGAGATTCTCGATACGAATACGAACGATAGGAATGCGCGTCTTGAAACTCTGCGAATCGATTTACGCATCATTCTGTCTATCGTTTTTCTATCGTTTTTCCTATTTTTAATATCATTGTAAGAAAAGAGAAAAAATATATAAATAATAATAAAAATATATATAAGATCCACCATGTGATTACATTATTTTCGTTATCAATTTTTAGTAATTTTTTTTAATAAAAATTTATATAAAAAAAAATCTAATATTGAAACTATTACACGCTCATTTTTTTATCTTAGCTAAGATTTAATTCCGCCAAAAAGATTTCAGACGCCCCGAGCTTTACGAGACAATGTAATCGTACAACACTTCAATCTAGGATCAATAATTAATCACACAGTAACCCATCTGTTCGCATATTTCCTCTTCGCACTTACTAGCCGTATTATTATGATTTAATTACTCCGAATGATTAATTAATAACGCGCTATGGCTACGGTCATTCGCGCCGCTCGAGACGGCAATGCGGTCAATGGTTCCCGAACGCGATTGATCGATCTGTATCGATAAGTTTTATTACACACGCGGAGTATGCGTGCATACTCCGGGCGCGTGTGCGTCGATGCGTGTCTTGTGGCAGCTGCCGGATTCGCGCGGCGACGCGTAAGGAAGAATGATGATGATGATGATGATGATGATGATGACGACGATGGTCGCATGCAAGAAGAGGGGAAGATGGCTATACCACGCGTGTTTCAAATCAACTCAAATAATAATGATGAGTTATAAATGCCACTGGACGGCCCAGACTGATCCCGGGTTAAGATACGTCGTCGCATCCGCGCATCTCTCCTGATGCGAAGTCATGTATCCGCGATTTAACGTAAACGCGGCTGCGCTCTCCGCATCAAGGTTATACGCTAATCACGATGAGAGTACGTTGTCGCAATACATTATCGCTATGGAACAAGCCTGACAGCGTAGATCAGAGATACGAACGTTTATCTTTCCTTTTTTTTTTTTTTTTTTCACGCGGTGTGGCATCCACCGCGGTGTGGCCTCGATGACTCGTGCGGTGTAACGTGCGCGATTCATCGAGGCCTTAATAGACGTTGCGCGTGCAAAAATAATAAATTCGGGATAGGTTGTAAAATCGCGCACGCATATAATTCGCGGTAGCGAATTAATCGAGAAAGGAAAACTTAAAATGGACGCGGTATCGCATTATTAAAGCGAATCGCCGGTTGTAGTCAGCCTGGTAATTGGATGCAGGTAGTGAGTGAGTTATGGCCTGGTAATTGTAGGGCAGACGGACGGCGTTACCGCAAATGTTAACGATTGTCTATGTATCTTCGTGATGATCGTGATCAAAGAAACAGGTAAAATTCTCATAAATATCGCCCCGGCACAATACGTATCCTACATATGTTACCACGCGGATCACGCGCGCATGCATTCTCGATGCGACAAATGCGATTCCCGAACTAATTACATCGTAATATATACGTAAATGTAAAATTGCACGAGCTTCTACCTGCCATCAAAAGTTGTTCTCGCCGTAGCGAGTGGATAATATTCGCATTACCGTCACTTTCTGCATTAATAACGGTCGACTTGCGGACCAATTAAGACACATCGCCGAGCACATGATCGAAGGGGCTTTTAGTGACAGTTGGCGTCATTAAGGCGACGATGCCCGGCCATGTGAGGGCCCCATATTCGTTTTTAAACAATTTCATAGCACGAGAAGCGATCCCTATCGCCGCGTATCATCTCTGTGAGATCATCGGTGACCATCGTTATGAGCGCGCGTCATTTCCGTTCAAAGCCATGGCTGGATTATTGTCGATCGTCAAACATCTGTCTGTATGAGCTAATGCGATCGTGCTTCAATCGATTTCGATCAAAACTTGTGTGATCTATAATAGTTGCATCAACATTTTTATGGATATTTTTTACTTTAAATAATATGATCACGCTTAGCATTAAATACTTAAAGCGTACTACTTTCAAAAGTTGTATTGAAAATATTTTTTCTAAAAAAAATAATTTATTATAATTAAGATATTTTTATATTAAATGTTATATTGAATTTTTTAATCGTACGATTAATTTTTTAAAATTAATTCAAAATAGCATTATGTGTATATAATTTCACTTTATAATCCATTTAATTAATTTTTTTTCTGTTTCAATTACATTAAAATTATTTTGTTATATAATCGTCTTTAATTTCATCATCTTTTAATAAATCCTGCGAAAAATCCGTAAGCTTCATTTCGTTGCAACTAGAAGCCGAAAAATCCATCATAGACTTCATATAAGAAAAGACGGTTGAATTCACGTCTTCAGACGTCAGTTTCTCAAGCAGCTTCGACCGTTTCGCCTCGAAGATATTAGATTTAGCCATTTGTTTGCCGAAAGTCTCATAAATATAAGCTCCCTTTGACGGCATCCCACGGGTTTTATCCGCCGTCGTGATCTCATGGGTGGATAGATGAATGCGCGGGGTGCGGCGGTATACGACAGAGGGGTGAGATCGATTCGATATAGTTCGTCTTCATTCTGGCACCAGTATTCCCAATTAACGAGATCCTTTCAACGGCCATGGAGATAAGGTGGAGAGAGGTTACATTTATAAATATGATGATCGTAAAAGGAAGCATTACCATCGATGAGATGAGGCAGATTTTCTGACGCTGCTTGGAAAAACGAGAGAGAGAGAGAGAGAGAGAGAGAGAGAGAGAGAGAGAGAGAGCGACG